TGAAAAATAAAAAAAAGGATAGTTGAACTGGCTGACAGGGTATATTGGTAAAGATGAGCTGGCAGTGTAAATTAGGATGGCTAAACTGACTGGAAGAGTAACCTTGAATGGGTGAACTGACTAAAAGTGTAGCTTAGGATGGGTGAACTGGCTGAAAGGGTAAATCAGAATGGGTGAACTGGCTTACAGGGTAAATTGCGATGGATGAACTGACTGTAAGGGTAAATTGGGATGCATGAACTGGCTGAAAGTGTAGATTGGAATAGGGAAACTGACTGAAAGGGTGAATTGAGATGGATGATCTGCCTGAAAGGGTAAATCGGAATGGGTGACCTGAATGAAATGAATGACCTGACTGAAGGGCTAAATAGGATGGATGAACTGACAGAAGTTTAAATTGGAATGGGTTAACTGAATTTGTATATTAGAATGGGCGAATTGACTGAAGGGGTAAGGTGGGATAGGTGAACTGACTGAATAAGGGTGAATTGGAGTAGGTGAACTGACTGAAAGAGTGAATAAGGATGGATGAACTTACCGGAATGAGTGAACTGGCAGTGTAAAATTAAATAAGTGGAATGACTGAATGGGTAAATTGGATGAGATGAACTAACAGTAAGGGTAAATTGGGAAGGTGAACACAATGAAAATATAAACTGGAATGGATGAACAGACTGAAAGGGTAAATTGGAATGGGTGAATTGAGTGAAAGTTGAAAGCAGGTGGGCGTAGATTGGAATGGGTGAACTGATTGAAAAACTGACTGATTATCTAATTCAGAATTGGCAGACTCATTGAAAGTGTAGATTGTGACGGATGATGTAACTGAAAGAGTAAACTGAATGAAAGGGTAAATTGGGATGCTGTTCAGACTGAAAGAATAATTGGGATGGATACACTGACAAGAAATAAACTGAGATAGGTGCATAGACTAAAAGAGTAGTGAGAAATGTTATTTCCCAGCCAGCTATTATCAAGGGAAACTTTCTGACAGAAACATGAAGCAATTCATCATGCATTAATTTGCATCTACTTAAATAATAGAGTTGAAAACTACGTACATTCATCATGTACCTCCATCACTGTCCACAATATATAGGCCTATCCAAGATTCATTGCATATAAGTTCTGACCACCAGCTGCCGTTGAGCTAAAGAAAACGGGCGCGCGAGAGGTTGATGACGCCACCTGCTTTTCTTTCTCTTTGCCTTTTCCCGCTTCTATGCGGGTCGTCATTTTTGACCAACCTCCTCCACTCAACCCGATTCTTCCACTCGTTTCCTTACAAGTTCTTTTCTTTTAAATCGCTTGTTATATTTTCCACCCATCTTCTTTTCGACCTCCCTCTGCCCCGTTTTCCATCCACCTCCGATTCCATTTCCCTACTACCAACATTATCTCTTCTCATTGTGTCCGTACCACTGTTTAACTTTGCTTACGTTCTTTGAAAACTTTTCATCATTCACTGTCCCTCTAATCTTTTCGTTCGTAATCTTATTCAGTCTTGTTACTCCAAAGTTTGAGGTTGAGATGATGTTAAGGTGGATACCTCAACATCATCATCTCAACCTCAAACTTTCTTGTGAGTTTTTCGTTGGCCAAGTCTCTGCACCATACATCATAGCCGGCCTAACAGTTGTTTTGTATAATTTGCTTTTAACCCTTGCGCTTATCTTTTTGTCACACAGAACACCAAACATCTTCCTCCAATTCATCCACCCTGCCTGCACTGTGTAACTTCTGAATCCATCTCTCCAACCTTGGATACCACTGATCCAAGGTACTTAAACTTTTTAACTCTTTTCAGTACTTCGCCTTGCATTCTCATTTCTCCTCCTTCCTCACAGAAATTCAGATATTCTGTCTTCTACTTGCTGATTTTTAGGCCTCTATCCTCTAAAGCACTTTTCCAGTGATCTCGATCTCCTCTTTACTGGTACTGGCGATAAAAATGTTTGCAAACATCATGCACCAAGGAGCCTGTTCTGTAACCCCTTCCGCCAATACATCCATAATGAGGTCGAACAGATAAGGACTTAAAGAGGACCCCTGATGTAGGCTAACTCTAACTGTGATCCATCCTGTTGTGTCAGCACTGGTTCTCACCCGAGTTCTTGCTCCTTCATGAATGTCTTGGATGATCCAAACATATTTTTCAGACACTCCCTTCCTTCTCATGCTTCTCCAGAGTTCCTGCCTTAGCACTCTATCATAGGCCTTCTCTAGATCTATAAAAACCATGTGCAAAGCCTTGCCTCATTTCCCAATACCTTTCCATCAATTGCCTTAGCGAAAACACTGCATCCGTGGTTCCTTTTCCCGGCTTAAACCCAAACTGCTCATCACCTATGACGATTCCTTCCTTCCTTATCCTACTTTCACTTATCCTCTTCCATATTTTCATGGTATAATACATTAATTTGAACCTCCTGTAATTGCTAGAATCCTGGATATTACCTTCCTCTTTAAATATAGGTGTAATAACTATTCCTCCACTCATTGGGTATCTTTTCTTCCTCATAGATCTTCATCAATAAATCCCACAACATATCAATTCCTTCATACCCTAGACACTTCCAAATTTCTGCAGGTATGTTGTCCGGTGACCAGTTCTGTCGCTTTTCCATTTTTCATCTTCCTCAAAGCCTTTTTAACACCCTGCCTACTTATATCACAAGGCACTCCAAAGTTTAGAGCTCCATCCTCAAAAACAGCTCTATGATTTTCCTTGTTCAACAAGGATTCAAAGTAGCTTTCAGGGGCGGCGCTAGAAAGCTTTTTTTTTTTTTTTTTGGGGGGGGGGGTCGGAAGCAAGGTTACCGAGTAGCATTTTTAAAATTAAATCCACACTATACTTTTTAATATCTTGTTTCGAAAAGGACTAAATTGAAATGAAAATGAAAACTTCGAGAGTTACAAACCATGATCATTGATTTCTTAAATTAAGCTGACCACCAAGTTTGCCGAGTAAACTGTATTATTATTTTTTTTTTTTTCCATTCTGCCGAGTGAAATGATTTGTGACCTTTGAGGGGGTGTTGCACCCCCCCCCCTCCCCGTGGCATCGCGCCTGGTAGCTTTTCCATCTGTCCCTAATCGTTTCCTCTTTATTAAGCACCATTCCCTCTCCATCTTTGATCTGGCTAATCTGGGTGTAGTCTTTAGTTGATTCATTCCGGGCCTTTGCAATCCTTAACGCTTTTCTTTCTCCCCCCTTTCTTCTAACTCTGTACATTTCATCCAGTGATATAGCCTTGGCTCTTGCCACTGCATTTTTGGTTCTTATTAGTTTGTTTATAATCATCTTTACCTTGTTCTATTCCTGATATTTCCCACGTTTTCTTCGCCTCTCTCTTCTTTAACATTCACCTGCACTTCCTCATTCCACCAACATTTCTTGTTTTCAGGAGGACCTTTCCCAGATGTTTTACCCAGCACTTCCCCCAACTGCTCTTATCACTCCACCATTAATTTCCTACCATTCCTGTACATAGGTCAGTGGTCTCACCTTCTCAAGCTCTTTTTCGTTCAATTTTATTTTCATCCCCCCCCCCCACCCCTTTCAATCTCCACCACTTGATTTTAAGGTCTACTCTGGATTTTCCATTACTTTTTCCTCTTATACTCCGTTCTTCACAACAACCTATGTTGTGAGGCTGTACTCTCCCCGTGAATTATTTTACAATTCGTGATATCGGCTACATTGGATGAAGTCAATTTGGCTTTCCCTATTCCTACTTTCATGGGTCATATACTGCCGTTCCCTCTTCTGGAAGGAAGTGTTACAGATTGCTAAATCGAAGGACAAGGCTACCTCCCTGGCTTTCCCGGTTATTGCTCCTATATCGAGTGTTCCCACTCTTACCCTCACCTTTGGTTTAGGAGCTAGCGTCTTTGGCCGAGTCTGCTCCAGACTTGGTAGCCCTTGCATATTTATCACAGGAGTCAGCCGAAGCTCCTGCACGTCACATACAGGGGACATCCTGGCATTAACTCATACTGAAATATGGAGACTTTTTTTTTTTTTTTTTTTTTGGGGGGGGGTGTCAGCAGTGTTTCACGATCGAATGGTTTCAGACGCCAACCCTCTCAATTTTTACGGGCTTGGAACCGTCACCGAGTTGTGCTGGCTTGCACCCCTGTGGCTGGGTCTTATGAGTCTTACAATTACGCTAAAAGTTTTATTTCACACTATAAATATTCACTTGAATATTATAGTAAGTCTAGTTATTTGATACTTTTGATTTTATTACTTATGCTAAATAAGAATATTATATTAAAAATTACACTGTTCCAGAAACAAAATTATGGCAATATGTAAATAAAAGTATAAATACTTTGAGAGCGAAAGAGAAAATATGAATGTTACTATAATATTACAGGCTTTATCTGCAGCGTCATTATCAACAGTTTCTTGCAATTGTTTGATTTCTTTTTGCTGTTGAATTTCCAGTGATTTCAAGTATTACACAGGCGTGTTAACCAGTCTATTCAGATTATCAACACATATGCACGACCCATTGCCGAATAATTAAAATGCCAAAACCTTTTTATATCTTATGTAACTCTTCATTTGGCCATTATTCTGAGGAATGAGGAGTACCTATCCACGTCCCCCAGCGATAGGGACACCCGAGCCTTTCGTCAACGCTAGAAGACACACGACCAGGGATCCTGGCCCTGACCAGACCTCCTCTTGGGGGCGCTCCCCCTAAGCGCGCTCACGCTCGGCGCGCCCTTTGGGCTCCCCTTGCCCACAATTGCACCAGCACGAGACACAGCCCGCCGCGTTACCTACCAGCCACTTCCTATCAGCAAAGAAGCAAACCAGGACTGTGTCTCCATAAACCCACCAAATCAGGGCAAACCATAAACCCTGACAACTGGTGGCAGACGGTGAAATGTCGCGAACCACAAGCCTCCTCCGAAGAAAAATCGTAAGTACGCCGTTAGTACTTAATTTCTTTCCTCCTTCGCCTATGTGTGTAGCCGTACGATTTTTTCACAAGTGCAGTGATTTTTTTCTCAAATATCTGAACAAGTGTCCGTGCAAAGTGCATTTTCTTTCCTTATTTCTGTTATCTACCATGTTTTTTCTCGTCATGGTAGATCGTCGTTTTTTAAGAGAATCAATCCCCATTTCTCTTTCTTGCGAGAGTGCATTTTCTTTGGCGTGTTTTTTTCCTTGAATCTTATAAGTATAAATCGCTTATAATGGCTACATCTTTTAATCATGTGGGAGAAATATGTTTTGCATTTTTTCTAAATTATTAACTATTTCTATGTACATTCTAGGTCACGTGACTAGTCCAAAGCATTGCCATATTCTCGACATTTTTTTTATTCTCATTATCTCTCACTGCGTTAACTGACGCCATATCGACGTTCAGTTCGTATATTATTGTTAAGTGCATTTATCTGGGCTCAATTTAATTATGCATTTGTGGGATATATTTGAATATTCAAATACCTTAGTTGAATTATGCACAAACAAACATTTCCCCCACGCTTCCCACCTACCCCCATCATCCTAAACCCCCTCCCTTCCTCCTAACCCCCCACCCGTTAATCCCCCCTCCCTCTCTACCTATTTTCAATATTTCTAGTCCAAAAGCGTTAAATTATTTTTTGTAGTTATAACGTTTTGTATTTTTTTTTCTTTTCGTATCTATACTTTTACAAGAAAAGTGTGCCTTGCTCATTTGTATGTTTATATGAATATCAACTTCAGTATTTGTATGCATAAAGTGTTATATTCATTTTCTAGTGCGAGTGACCTCACACATAGTTTTCAGGTCACGTCACGGTCGTCATGTCAAAAGGTGACACATCTCACCTTTTATGCCTTAGTGCTATTTCGCATTATGTTCCATTTTTGTCTGAAACTTAATTTCATTTATATAACACGATTTACGATAGAGTGATGAATTTACTTCCGGTTTGCATGAATATATTGGGAACTGTAATAATATTAGCATAATTCATCTAATTAAATCGTATAATTTCAAGCTATTATTATAGTATATTTGTGCATATTCCGAAGTATATTTTAATTATTCGTCTTCTTTATAGATATATTTCATTAATCATTCAATGTGGTAAATCCTTCGTTTCATTTTTTGGTAATTTGAATATTTAATTTCTAGATTATTGTGTACTTGTTTTTCACAATATTGTTTAATTTTATATCTACTAGCTATTGCTATTTTTAGCGAATGTTCGGATAACGACCTCATTTGACCTTACTCAGGTAGAAGGTACTGACTCTGCTCGACCCAAAAATACATTCAAGCTATTTGTATTTATATCTTATTCAATGATCTCCGTGTTAGAGATTAATTGTATTATACAGCTACTACGATTGTTCATGTTCGTGATTTTCGCGTATCTTAATCATGAACATCACCTCATCATTATTACATGGTCCTTGGTGACGACCCCCAGCTGGGTAAGGGCATGTAATTAGGTTAAGGTAATTAATGTTAAGTTGTCCTGTATGTGCCGAACCGCACACTTATCGCCCAGGCGATCTCAGCGCCGCGTCGCGCCTTCTTATCGCTATACGTGAGATTATCGCTGGTATTCCCCAAGAAGATGGGTACCCAATTGCGTTCTGCGTATGAGCTGGATGATGTGTCCCTTCTACAGTTGGGTCATCACGTCATCACTTTCCTCAGGGAATTTATTTTAAGTATCATTTACAACCACGAGGGTAGTCTGTCGGCTCCCAGTTGTCTCAGGGAAGCTGACCCAAACCCGCTTCCATCATGCATTGCTCTGCAAGCTTAGTCTGTTCTGCAATAGACCAGTCACCGTTTCATATATTTTACGTACTAATTAAAGTACCATTTTGTATGATTTTGCACAGTAGTTGATTAATATTGCAATTAACGTAAGTTCATTGTTATTAATGTGATTTTTTTTTTCTTTCGTGCAGTCAGATCGGTGCAATCCATATTGCCACCCTTGCCTACATACCTAACCCCACCCCCCATCTTCACCCATACCTCTTTTACACCCCACCCCACCCCATCCTTCCCTTAGCCTCCCCCCCACCCTCTCCTCCTCCCCTTCGCTTATTTCTTCCAACTTCCACGCCATCTATTCCTTTTTTACTCACTCTCGCCTTACTTACTAATGACTCTAAAAAAAAACTTATGAATATTTGGTGCGATACTCTGACTTACTCATTTCATAACTCTCACCCGTTAAATCAACACTCGTCTACTCACCACTCACGCAGCCACATGCGCACATCGTCCCGCAGAAACCTGTTAATTGCACAAGAATTACATGCGTTCTGTTTCCGGAAGATAACCGACTTGCGCCATTCGTGTATTCTTGTCTTGCATTACGTTTTATCGTACAAATGTTGTCTTGAGAAAGTATATTTTGATGTAATGAGTCGCTCCCGAAGTATGAGGACTGCATTACCTGTTTTCATTATTGCTTTGCCTCAAATTGCTGTTGGTGACGTGTGATAGACAACTTCAATGAAAT